TATTTTAAAATTTCAATTTTTATTAATAAATTATTATTTCATATCATTCACAACCAGTATTCTACACAATTATAACTGAAATTGGGGAAAATGTGAACAAACTTACAGTGAAATGTTGGCGGGAAAAGGAATAAATTGTACAAACCGCTGCCCTTTTAAAAATGCTGCCTTTTGTGAATACAATAGTCTCGGTCAAAAGAGAAGTTTACAGTCTCATACTTCAAAATAAACATTTACTGTTATACATTCATTGTCAAGGTCACTGCAATTTTATCAGCTGTATTGATTGCACTGTTCCACTTTCAGTTGAAGTGATTCATGAACTATAATAGAAAGCTGGACAGAGAGAACAAAAGTGAAAATCGTGATAGATTAAGTTCCTTTTATCAGAGCAAACAATGAGGAATGTTCATTACGATGTTTGCCACTGTGAAATTTAGCTCTACTTTTCCATCTTAAATTAAGTAGCGTATGTTCAGTTTTAAGAAACAGGTGAGTATTTTGATTGAGATGCATTCTTGAGCAAGGACAGAAGAGGTATTCATTTGGAGTTTAGTGACCCATAGGCAGGCAAGTTTCATTAAAGGGGAACATGTTCTATAAACAAATTACACACTGAGATGACACTGGCTCACTAGTGTGTAATAATCCATTTATAGTTATTTTATATTGAATCCCATTTTTTATGAATCTATTATTTATTTACAACAAAGAATGGATATTAGACTCTAAGGTCATATGACTGCTGTTCAATGATTACAATTATTCATAAAAATTTAAACAACTAGTACTGAAAAGAAAAGTGAAGAGTATGCAAGGAGTGACAAAAATATAGTGACAAAAAAAATCAAATTTTGTTAGTTTTATAATGAATGTACCATAGTGATATTGCTAGTTAGGGCATCTCTAATTTATGTTTCATATATTCAGTATCAGATAATGGACTGGTATTTTCGCAAATTATTAAATATTTTCAGAATTTCTTTGATAACAAAATATTCTCATTTTTTGTGTATTATTCAAAAATTTCAATAATTTAGTAAATTGGTTTTGTCATTACAATTACCGTAAATATTGTTACTGTTATATGCAATTAAAGAAGTTATTAAATATGTGTACACTTATATGTATGGCCAGCAGCATATGTACAGTACCGAGTAGTTTAATATTTAAACAAACTGACAATTACTGAAGACTGTATTCTAATTTTCATTGTCCCGCACAAAGCTATTTATGCATGACCGCAAATGTACAATGACAATGACAAATGTCTACAAATCACAGGGATGGTACAGGCCCCAGTTTATTGAATTAATTGAATTCAATTGTACATTCATATTGTACTGCTTGTATATGGCTAAAGAGCTTTCATTAGGGATTGTAGGATATAGAATTTCTGAACTGGCATTTTACGCGTGAAAATCTTAGCACAGAATGGTTTTAGAAATTGGGAGAAAATATAGGGAGAACAAATGTTTTCATATTATTGATTACATATCCCTTATTAATGCTACCATTATGCAGATTTCCTCAACTTTACTTTTTGGTTTTATTTTATGCTATTGATAATAAAACTCAGATAAAAATATATGTTCACTATTAGTGTCTATGATAAAAAGGTCTCTTCATATCGTAAAATGTAGTAGTAATCATGAGAAATATTTATGAAAAATGATTCGACATATGGAAATTAAATTTTGTCCAAAACAATATTTCAAACTATGTCAAACAAATTTAAAAGTTGATGACTTGTGTCTAGATCAATAATTATGTAAAATTTATGATCAATTGTGATAGATTGTTAACCCTTATTTGTTAGGTTGAATGGCCGCTAACTACCTTATGTTAGCGAAATGCCACTAAGTATTGTATGCATATGATTAATTATTCTGGGGGGTCATTCTACTTAGTAATAGCAAACATAATGAACAATGAACACTGAAATGTGAAATATTTTTCTAAACAGGAAAGAAATTCATTACAACAACAACAAAACATGTTATGACCATTTGATGATCATGCTGCAGAAAACATGGCACGTACTCAGTAACTCGGTTTCTGAATTGAATCGACAGGTAGTGTGTAACTGATATCATTTGCTATTGTATACATTGTAAAAGATCCAATCAAATTTTTGTATTTCAGGACGTGCTGACCAAACTGGTGAACTCACGTCGTTGTACAATTATCACAACAAAGGTGAGTTTTTCTTTTTAGGTGAGATGCTTTCACTTATATGCTGGAAACTTGGAATAGGAAAAAAGTTTGTCTGAAGGGATAATAATGTTACTGTTAATGCCCTATGGACAATGTGTAATGGATTACTTTAGCCTTTGTATGGGTGTGTCTGATTGGTTTGTTGTAGTGTATTTTATGGCCGTCTTGATAGTGACGATACAGGTCAAATATAACCATGTGGGTAGAATGAATCGTTTATTTACTTTCAGTTTTTTGTGATCATACCGCCTGTACTGTGATGGTGTAAATTTTGGGAAGTTATAGATTCAAACAGAATTGAATTCCTAAAATGACCTTCACACCATGCACTGTTTTCCTTAAGGTGGATAAGTAGGTGGTTGTATTGTATTCTTTTACAAACAGTATTCAGGACATTACCTGACTAATAAGTCATTATGGACAAGAATAGACAGTGGATTAGCCTGCAGTCGCCTTCTAAGGAAACCCCCTGACTGTACATATATGTCTTGTATGAGAAAAAAGTAGCATTGCGTCCATGCATGTCAAGCTTCTCTGCCACCTGTAGCATTGCTTATTAATTGATTAGAAACTATATACTGGTGTTAAATTTATAAAGCAAGAAAAAGGAATGAAACATGATATTATTATATATGGTTATATCCCATGAACATTGTGAAGTTTGCATGAAAGCAGTCTGTTGATATTATAGGTCAGCACATAGCAGAGGTCAATGCTATCTCATGATGCATTTTTTGATATATTAATAATGTATTGAGTGACAACATAAAAGATGTTTCTTTTTTTAAGATTGTTAGCATTTTGTCACTTAACTAATGAGCTAGTACTATACACACAGCTATATGGGGTGGGCCAACACACCATCTCATATGGCATGATTTTAACAATGGTTCAAATTCAGTTAAATTCCCATTGCTTTAGTCAAGGCACAATGCAAATGCTTCTGATAGATGAATTTGCATTCAGTACAGATATCAGATGCAACACTTCTTAGTGTTCTCAAGTGGTTGATGCTCTGGAGTTAATGGTATGCCTAAAGGCTGTATAAAGTACAGTGGATCAATTAATTTATCAGTGTATTGACTCTAGAATATGAAATATTGGAAAATGTGAATATGTGCACAAATCAGGATTATGGTTTTTGACTCCCGTGTGCGAAGCACAAAAGGGAGTCTTTGCAGTTACCCTGTCTGTATGTCTGTATGTATGTATGTCACTTTTTTTGTTGCACCGTTATCTCAAGAACCACTAATCAAATTTTGGTGAAACTTGGTAAATAGATACTCTGGGATAATGCGCAGAGTTGATTAGGTTTTGGTAAAAATTTATGAATATTAATTACCTAATTTGCATGATAATTAGCTGATTTTTAGCTGTTTCAAGACTGTTCCACTGATATCTGAAGAACCATTAATTGGATTTTGATGAAATTTGGCACATGGATGCTCTGAACTAGTGCGCAGATTTGATTAGTTTTGGGTAAAAATCTATGAATATTAATCACCTAATTTGCATGATAATTAACTGATTTTAAGCTGTTCCACTGATTTTTGAGACCACTCATTGGATTGCAAAGAACTTGGCACATGGATGCTCTGAACTAATGCGCAGATTTGATTAGTTTTGGGTAAAAATCTGTTAATATTATTAATTACCTAATTTACATAATGATTAATCAATTTTCGGTTTTTCCACTGATATCTCAAGTACTAATCATAACATTTCAATAAAACTTGGTACATAGGTGTCATATGACACTGCACAGACCTGATAGTTTTTAGGGTAATATCAGTACATATTAAGTACCTAATTTGCATAATTAATTAATTTTTAGCTTTTGATATTTCGAGTAGTAATGATCACGTTTCAATGAAACTTGGTACATAGTTACTTGAGGACTGTGCAGAGACCTAATTAGTTTTTGGGTAAAATATTTGTGCATATTAATTACCTTATTAGCATAATTAGTTAATTTTCAGCTTTTCACCTG